CAGCAAAGCTGATGAGCCACAAGTTTGAAATGAGTGATTCCAACACACAAACCAGATGTGCCCAGTGATTAATACCTGATGTGCCTTTTACTCAGTTATTTCTGCCATTATCCAAACTTTGATCACTGTGATTTTCCTGGAGGTGACGTTGGATCCTCCTCTGCAAAGTCTGGTTCTGTTGTTTGGTTTATTCTATGGGTTTTCAGAAATTCATTTGCCTTTGGTTCAGAAATAGTGCACTAAGTCAGGCACAGACTTATTTACCCTTGTGCTGTCCCAGCTTGCAAGCAGGGCTAAGTAACACAGGAGTCATCAGAAACCACTGGTATCTGTCGTGCATCACCACTCCAAGCAGTTCTACTGAAGAGGTTATTCTTCTGATGTGAACCCCACTGTGGGAAAATTGCCTAAATTGTCAGTGTAGACACCACCCAAGTGCACATGCCCTTGCAGATAAGATCTTGTGTGGCTTCCTGCACCTCATGCTGTACGTGGAAAGAATAGTCATTTTTAGATGAGACAGAGCCAATTGCATTCAAAACAAGGCGAGAGGATCAGCTGTTGGTGCAGGGTGCTCTGGGCCGTGCACTCACCTCGAAACACTCCCCACTTTCCCATGCTCTCAGTGTTGCAATCGCGTGACAAGAGGAGTGTTCTGGTGCTCCTGGCTGGGCCTCGACATGTCAAGTTTGGGAAACTTCCCCCATCCTTTGGTCAATGCACCTACACACGGTTTAGGTAGAATTCAATGTGGGTTTGGATCTCCCCTGGCCTCAACCAGCCCTTTGCTATATTTTAGGTGTCTGTCCTTGGGAGACTAAACTGTTGCAAAATGTCCAAATAGGATTTTTGCTTTCACCACCATTAAGTAAAGAATGACCCAGAGCTCCCTGAGGATGAGAAGACTCAGGAGCTTTGGCAGGATTTGAATTAGGTAATGGGCCATCAGCTTTTCTCCTGTACTAAGCAGTGGCTTCATCATGTAGCTCTCCTGTGTACACTTGGGGGTTCAAGGCAAGAGAGGGATCAGCGTTCCCCACGTTTGTTATCACCTGGGGTTTTAGTACGGGTTGAATATTGTTAGGTGCAGCAATAATGCTAATTATTGCTGTTATTAGATTACATGCTAGAAACTCTCTGTGTATGTAATGTATTTTTGTGAAAAGGCTCCTTGTACCACCAGCCCCGACAATAACACGTTCTCTTTGGAGTTTGAGTGTGTGAGTAGACCCTGATAAGCTGCCAGTATCTCAGCATTCCCAGAGCTTCCCCACGTTCCTGCATCCTAACTCGATTTTTTGCTCTTAATGGTCAGCTGGTGAAGTGGGGAGGGGGGTATCTGCTGCTGAGGATTTGTGTTGCCCCGCTGATCCAGCCTGAGGATCTACACTTGGATGAATGGGATTGCCACCTTCCAGCTGCCCTGGCTCACCTTCCAGCCCAGCCTGGGAGTGCAGCACTGCAGGTGGGGAATGCTGGTTCTGGGTGGGGAGGGGGATTCTCACCCGTTCAGTTACAGCCTCATTGAAGTGTTTGTTTTCTAACTACAAAATGAGCCTGCGAATGAGGTGTTGCTTTGCTGGAGATCTTATCAGCTATAAACAGACTGTTAAAAATAGGGTCGTTTTACACAAAACTTGTTTGTGGAGTGAAACAATTCAAAACACGATAATAACAAAACAAAATCTTAAAATAGCTCGAAGTTGAGACCACAGACACAGCTGCCAAGTGCTTTCATCTTTATTACAGTTACTCATATCTCTTCTCTTGCTATTCCCATTGTAAACACGCTGATGTTATCTCTCTTGTCCTCCCTGCTCGGCCGCCAGCCTCTGTAACTGCACCCTGCGATCCAGCCTGGTGCTTGTTCCAGGGGCCCGGGTCATGCTGCTTCTTCCACGTTTCAGTTCCAAGTGTGGACAAGGCTGCTGGTGTTCCCTGCTGAGGGAAGGTTCTGCCAGCAGCACTACTGGTGTGGCTGCTCCATCACCACCTTGAGCTGGAGTATGTTAAATTGCTGTTAAAAACCAGCTTATGTAAAGCTTTGGAACAGCTGCCAGAGCAGTGGTGGATTTGCCATCCCTGGAACTGTTCAAAGATGTGGCACTTGGGGACATGGTTTAGTGGTGAACGTGGTGGTGGTGCTGGGTTGACGGTTGGACTTGGTAAACTTAAAGGTCTTTTCCAACCTTAAGGATTCTATGAATCTGTGTGTGATCTGCTTGAAGTTCCTCTGTCCTCCAGCCCTGGTGTGGTGGAGCTGGGTCTGCCAGCCCTGGGGTGGGAAGGTGAGGGCTCTCCATGCTCTGGACAAATGAACATCTACACCTACATCTACACCCTTTGGTACAGGGTGGAATATCCAACCAGGAAAAGAGGAAAACCCAACCTGACACCATGCATGTTCATCTGATTAAGTCATCTGTACAGTTAATAGAACTGGAGATAAAGCTCTGCCATTTAGATAACAGGTCTGCAATTAGGTTAATCTGAACATTAAAAAGCCATTAGGGAACCGCTGGATGTTGCACGTTAAAGCTAACGGTGCGATAAAGGTACTCACGAGATCAAATGGTGAAACAGGGTTTGGAGAGTTGCAAGTCTTTTTTTTTTATGATTTCTTTTAATTCAGCAAACTGAGGAGCTGGGGGAAAAACAAAACCAGCTGCCAAAGCTTTGGAGTCCCAAGCCCCTTCTTCAGGTCCAAACCAGAAGTAGCACCCTTCGACTTGTCTGCCAGTGGAGAATAATCACTCGGTTTGAACTTTGGGATGTAAAACTGATAATTTGAGAGAAAAGGAACTTGATGCTTGTGGAGCAGAGGAGCTATTGGCCTCTAAGAGTTGGAATAGTCTGGAGTAAGAGATTTGGCTGAGGTTTAGTTGGGCTGAACGCTGCTCATGTACCTTTCTGTCCAGTACCCATTTGTAGCAGTCTCTGTATTAATGGTGGTTTCTGCTTTTGTCACTTAAAGCTCCTCTCTTGATTTCTCTTTTGAGGATGAAACCTGGACTTTCAGTGTTCAAAAAACCAACCGCCCCCTAAGACCCCCCAAAACCAAACCCAAACCCAAAGCAAACATAAAAAACTGATGTTTTCCAGCTGCTAATTGGGACAGAAGGATTTAACAGCCGAACTTCCATGATGTGCATTGGTTTTCTGCTTTTGCACACTCAGTCTGTGGTGCAGTGGATGAAACACAGGCATGAATTCCCCAGAAAGTAACATAATCCACGGCTCCTGCCGTGAGCAAGGCTCAGATGAGCTGTGAGGTGTCTGTGGGGCTTGGCTGGCTCTGCAGAACATGTGCTGCCAGTGATGGGCTGAGTTCAGGTGTCACTCAAATGCTGGGAGAGATCACAGAAAATGGATTTCAAAGTGTGTGCCTGCCCCCACTTAGGGTACTTTTTTGGTTAAATCTTTCTAGAAAGGTTTCATGCATGTGACGTGTGGTGGTAGGGTTGTGTTTCCTTGGGGAAAGGCACATCTGTTCCTGCATTATGTTTGCTTACGTATTAGGGGGCCTATAAGAAAGATGGGGACAAACATTTTAGCAGGGCCTGCAGGGGTAGGACAAGGGGTGATGGTTTTGAACTAACAGAGGGGAGATTTAGATTAGATATAAGGGATTTTTTTACAGTGAGGGTGGTGGTACACTGGCACAGATTGCCCAGAGAAGCTGTGGATGTTCCATTCCTGGAAAAATTCCAGGTCAGGCTGGGTGGAGGCTCTGAGTGCCCTGATCCAGATGAAGATGTCCCTGCTCACGGCAGGGGGGTTGGAACTAAACCATTCTATGATTCTACATTCTAACAAATAACGCAGTTCTAAAATGCAAATCTTTCTCTCAAATCAAAATCCATCACAGAGAGCAGAGAAATCTGTGGAAGAGAAGAGCTTTTCCTCCAAGCCCTACCACACTGGTTTTATCCACATTTAAGTAAACAGGCATTTGTGAACTCGGTGGGTTCCATGTAGTGCTCAGCATTACACACATGCTATGGCAGGGTTAGTGTTTTCAATACTGCTTAGAACCATTCTGGAAAATACAGCCTAACTTTGCAAAGCAGTTAGAAGGACACATCTGTAAAACCTCCTCATTCCCTTGTTCCCTGTTCAGCACTAAGACACAGAGGTGCTCAAAGGCTCCCTGCCCTTATTACTCCAGTTACTGGCACAATGCACTATATTAAAGCAACTCACTATATGCTTACTCTGTATTTGAGATCCAAGTGTTCTTACACACTTCAGAAATTAGATAGTATTAACTACTGTAAATCCTAATTGGTGTCTGTGCCTCCCAAGCAATGCACAGTTAGAGCTTCCTCCATTCCTGTAATCCCCAGCTGGGATGGGACGGGCAGTGGCTGAACCAGCTCTCCTGAGCCTGAGTTCCTGCAGTTCAGCCCAGCAGGTTCCTTGCTGCAGAAGATCCTGATTTGGAGGCAATTTGTGAATGTGGTAGGTCTTGGCTTATGAAAGATTTGGAAATCCCACAAAAGGGAGAAATACAGTGCTTCCCATCTTGCTGCCTCTGGTGAACCTTGGTGCTGTCAGGGGTGTGGAGCAACACAGGAACTGGGAAAACTGAAACCTCTTGATTTCAGGGTGTTCTAAATCTTGAGTTGCTTTCACAAAATCCAACTGCTTTACAGAACTTCAGAGTCTCAGAAAGGTGTGCTGGGTCAGGTGTTTTTTACCGTGCATGGATAGGAAGTAGCCATCTCAGCTGGTTTTATCCAAGTGCTTCACTTTCTCTCTTTTTGCCTGACAACGTGATCTTTAATTTTTGCTCCAGGAGATGTTGCTAATCATGATATGCAGGTCTGCCATGAGTGTTCTTGTACATTTGGAAGTGGGATGTCTGTGACCAAATGTTTGCAGGATTTATGCTTGACAACATAACAGAAATAATTAGCACATTAAAAATGTGTATAATAGCCCATTTATCCACTGTGGGGTTCTTCTAAATACACAACTTTTTTATTTATATTTTCTAGGCAGCCATACTGAGTATTAAGCTGAAATTACAGCCAGATCAAGATGTGGAGAAGGTGAGTCATTTCCTCTGCAGGCTCCTCTGTCATCAGATCCACCTTTTGTTCAGCAGGACATCCATCATGCTGCCTTTCACTTGAGGCTTTACTTCATTCCCCAGAAGTACCTATTGCATTGATGATGTACCTTTACATCCAGGTTAGGCACAGAATGTGTTTCGTTTGACCCAATTCCAGCCTCCTGCCCTGTGTTTCTGGCTGCAGCCTCTGTTACAACAAATCCTTGCTGTGTTCAGCACTAGGGTGGAGGTCAGTGCTTTTGCTGCACTGAAGCTTTGCTAATATTTGCTAAAACGTCAGAGCACTCTCATAGGCAGCACTGGTGGGCTAAGCAGGGGGTTGGGACTTGCTCACTGTGTCTGGGATGCAGGGAATGGGACAGTCTCTGCTAGGATTTAGTCATGGACCTTCTCCGTGCCTTCCGTGGGCTCCGTGGGGATCAGAGGTCTTTTCTTATCCTAGATGTGCATCCCACTGCTGCTCCAGGATAAAGCCAATGTGGTGGAAGATTATGTGGGAGAATATCCTGAGCTCCAGAGCAAGCTCCTGCAGATCCTGGACTCGTGGTGTGAACCTGGTGTCAACATCAGAGACATCACAAGGTAGAAACACTTATTGTCTTTCTGAACAGCCAGGCCAAGGTGCTGCCAGAGCACAGTGTGTTCCCTGGTTGTCTGTCTGCAGTCGTGTCTCAGCGTAAGGCAGTGCAAAAGATTGGCTTTGAGCTGAGGAAGGGGAAATTCTGGTGTCTCTGCCAGAGCCTTCTCAAGCGCCCCGGCCTGCGGGACACAGGAATTGTTGCTCTTGACAGATGCTCCGTTCCTGCCAGGAGCAGGAGTGCAATGAAACCTGTGCAGCACATCCCAGTAACAGAGCAGTGTCAAAGGGAGGCTGGAGCAATCAGCCTCTTGTGCTCTGCTGCAGACAAGGGTGAGTTTCAGTATCGGTTGTACAGGTTTGGCAGGAAGATAATACTGTGATGAAGTGGCAGAAAAACAAGAGATGCAAGTGGTTAACCTTCATGTCCTTGTCAAATTGTGGTGTGTGTTTTAATTTCTGACTTGCCTCTCACTAGAATAACTCCTGCCAGTCACAGACCCAGCAGCACAGTCAGAGTCATGGTGTAGATGCAATACTTGCAGTCTTAGCTCTGAAAAAGAGATGAGGAGGAATTGCTCACTTTCTTTAAAATGAACTTCTAGACTTGCTTCAGTCATTGACTGAAATTTGTGTGGTTGTACTGTTGGCTTTTTGCTGTACCTTGTCCTTACCAACACCAGCAAACCCCAATCTCTCTGCTGTTAAATATCTGCTATTTGGAAAACATCCTTTAGGTGATGCCACAGGTATGTATTTCTGATGTTGTTACAGACCATATCAAGGCTTGTCCAGATACAAACCAGAAAAATTTAACCACAGAACACTCAGCAAGCTGGTCTTCAGGCTCCTGGACAGATTCCACGTAGATCCAGGTACAGGATATTGCAATATATTGTGAAGTTATGTCAGCAATAAAGAACACACAAAGTCAATTTGTCTTCTTCCATGTTCATCAAGGAATTTCTGCTGTCATTTATCTTGGGGAGTTTCAGGGTTTAATTAACGATCCTGAAAAACAAAGCTGGTGAGTTATGGGAATTATCACTTTGTGCTGTCTAAGAATGAAGTGCTGTTGACTAATAAGCTGTTTCTGCCATGATATGGAATAAATCCTGACCTCAGCATGGCTCTGCATAAACACACCATGGTCAGCTCTGAGTTATGACTCCATTCCTCTCACGTAAGAGGCAAGTCATTATTCATTGGGGATCTGTTTTCTTGAGCTACGGGTCCGTCAGCTGGGAGGAGATAACCCTTTGGAAGCAGGAGCCTCAGAGCCCTTTGTATTCTTTGTATAAACTAGGGTTGGTGGTAGGGAATTTTAAGGCTCCTGCAGCCTTAGAAGTGGCACATCTTCTGTCACTGAACAGATCTGCTTCACCTGCAGATATCAGTTACCTAACAAAATCTGCTTTCCTTTGGTTGCTGGCAGGGACTGTTGATGTTTCCTTCTCTTTAGGACCTTGCATCAGACCCCTTTGGGTGCACCGTTAGCTTTTACCCTGCAGAGCTTTCCATCATCAACCCACGATATGCAATTCTCTTTTCTTGGACTGAAAGTGTTTTCTAACCACAAATTGTGGGCTTATTACACCTGTCAGGAACACTATTGCATATTAATCTTCCATCTTCAGACTGGTGTTCAAAAGTTAACAAGTTAAACCTTGCAAACCTTCATTGGAGTAGAAGTGGATATAATTAAACATGGCACGTTGCTGTGAAAGCTGAGACATATGGGGGGTGATTTATTTAGAAATTAAAACCTTCCCAGGAGTTCACTAGTCTTCAGTAATTTTTCCTCCTTGACAGGGTTGGGCATTCAGTCAGCTGTGTTGTCTTTGATGATCTGTAAAGGGAGTTGAGTTGTTCCCTTTCCTTATGAAAGGTCTGCCAAGGATATGATATAACAGTAGAGGTGAAATAATATAACTGTTCACATGCAAAATCCTGAGAAATAATAATTAAAGAAAAAAAATCAGGAGAGGAGCATGTAGGTGTGGGTCTCAGGTGCACTCTGTGGGATGCAGTCTGCTTCAACCTGCTGCTGGTTTCTAGATGTTGTAGCTGCTGATAATAATGGCCAAATCTTGCCAGTCCTCCACAGCCGTTCACTGGTGAGGAGGTTCCTTGAGGCAGATACAGATCCCATTCCTGCCTGCACTTCCAGACATTTATCCCATGCAAACTGCAGTGTCCGCAGGGCAGGGTAAAGCCTTGCTCAAGAAGGCTGCCCACCTCTTCTGAAGTGAGAGGGGATGTGGGTGACTGGTTTAGACTTTGGGCAGATAAAAGCAGTGCTGGATGACTGTCATAGTCCCATATGTGAAAAATGGTGTTTATTTTTTGCATAATATCACATGCAGTTATGAGCAGGAATTCACACTTTTCTGAGCTGTGGCAGTCAGTCTCCTTTGAAGTGCTTTGGAAAGGGAAGAATGCCCTGCAGAGGAATTGCTGCCTTAGCACTGGTCATACTGGAACTGAGTTGGAAAATGCTGGTTGCTGGAACAACGTGGCTTTCCTTGTCTTCCCACCTCTCCCCTCCCTTTTGCTGAATTTCTGGGTGTTCTTTCTGCATTGATAGTGGAAGCAGGTCCGACTGTGATGAAATAGTGTGCAAGAAGGCAGCAGACTGGGCAAAGCATACAGATGAAAGAACCCCTCGTGACTCTTGTTCTGAGCAGCTTCCCCAAAAACTTGCAGTGAGGTAGAGCTCACACTTCTTGTCACCCCACCTGGCTGGGGGCTCATCTGCTGCCACAGCTCCTGCTGCTGCTTTCGGTCTCCTCCTCGCTGTGACTCCCCCTCACCGTGGGAGCCTGAGAGCAGCAGCAGAGAGGGAAGTGGCTTTGGTGAGAACAGCTGGAGGAGGATGGGGTTTCTGGGTATGAGGAGGCAAACTTGTGTGTGACTCAGTTCTTGCCGTTCCAAATCGACTTTCAGATTTTACTATCCAAGCTCACTCTTGCCCACTCCCAGTAAATCACACTGAGTGCCAAGCTGAGGTGTCCATCAGCCACTGGAGTCTGAAACACTCCTGGGAGCTGCCAGCCTTAAACTCCAGAGCCGGATAGGAGGTGGCCCAATATAAAAAAAGATGTGGAACCTCAGGGGAAAAGAAAAGCCATCCTCCTTGATTAGTCCTCCTCTGCTTTTTCAGAGCTATATTCCTGTTAACTCACAGACAGAGTATGGTAAGTGGGAGATTTTCTGCTGAGTCCCAGAGGTGTCCCAATAAAATGTGTGTGGATTCCATTTAATTACCCTTATTGGGCAGAAGTGGTATGTGATTGAGGAAATTGAGGTTTATAGAGTCTTTCCTCACACCTGGGTCAGTATGCTCTGGTTTAATGAGCCTGTAGCTTTTTCAAGCTAATTGCATAATACTCTTTGGAGACCCTGTGAGGCTGACTTCACAAACACAAGTTTCAGTCAAAACAGATCTCAGAGGTGAGGGAACAGCCCCTTCCCAAGGCTGCCATGGTCGAATCTGTTCTCTACTGTGGTTTTGCACAGCTGAGACACACAGAGAGCTCAGGGATGTTTTTCATTGACAATTCCTGGGGTTTGAAATAGAAATGATCCCACTCTGAGAAGTGTGATAACCTCAGATATTGGGCTTGGTGCCTCTGTGCCAGTGAAGGAAATAACAGCTGTGTGACAGAGAGGAGACAGATGGGGGCTGAGTGCCCAGTAATGGTGGTGCTTGTGCTGTAGCAGCGTGAGAGGTGAGGTGAGCATCTCAGGGTTTGAATGCTCTGTGTTTTTTACCACAATCTTTAAAAGGTTTTTTAGTATAAACCAAGAGAAATGTTTCTTTTACTTGAGCACCGGGTTATCCGTTTGTTTCAACAAGTAATTTCCGTCTGTGTGACCCCCTTCCCCCACAACACACACATCCAGCGGGGCTGCCGCGCTCCAGGCGGGGCCGGGGCAGCAGAGGGCAGGAGAGGGCTGTGCACAGCCCCACATGTGCCCAGGTGAGGCACAGCTGGGAGGGCACAGCCCCACACCTGCCCAGGTGAGGCACAGCTGGGAGGGCACAGCCCCACA